CTGCGTTTGCCGGTCGATGTGCTTCTGACACGTGTTCTCTGTTTTCTTTCCCGATTCCAGAACCGCGTTCATTTGAGGTGGGGATGCTGGTCTGGCTGAAGTACCAGAAGTACCCGTTCTGGCCGGCAGTGGTAAGCGCGCCCGCCGGCTCCCAGGCTGGCCGCTGGGCTCCGCGCCCTGCGCTCAGACGGTCGGACCTGGGCGGGATTTTTCACTGTCATTCTTACCGGGGGCATGAGGCGCCAGCACCTCGGTAGTGGGGCGGGCCACACGGCTCCCCCGGGAGAGAGGTTTGTGGGCCCGGTGTGTGCGCGGCAGGCCTGGGACGCCCCGGGCCCCGCTTCCCCTCGGCAGCGCGCCGCGAGCCGTTGGCTGTCTGTCAGACTGAGGCCCGTCTCGGCGCCTCTTGCCCTTCGTTCCCCCTTTGCTGGCTCCCGGCAGAGACGGGGTGCAGGGCTCGGCTGTGGTCTTGCAGTGTGCAGTGAGGACAGCCGTGTATGCTGGGGTTACAGGCAGTTGGCCGAGTGTGGCGTGCACTGGGGCAGCTTTGCCCCGCAGGCCCAGCTTGGGGGGTGGGGCGGGCAGAGCTGGCAGCAGCACAGCCCCTCCCCCACACCCCTGCCCGGGCCTTCCGGCTCACCTTGTTCCCAGCCGTTCCCGTGGGCCCTGCTGGGCACCGTGTCACCAGCATGAGCCACTGTTGGGCACTTACACCTGCAGCCCCTGCCAGGCCATCCTCGGCCTGTGGCCACTAGAAACGGCTGCTGGCCTCCCTCACAGGCCAGGCTTTCTGCTCGTGCTCCTCGGCTGGTCCTGAAGCTGCCCTGCCCGGCCACGGGGACATCTCGTCTCAGTGGTCACGTGCAGGTGGCTGGAAGCAGCAGCCCATGTGGTTGTTCTTACTTAAAACTGTGAGAAACTTCTGCCTGGTTCTGACTGGCTGTGAAGCCGCTTGGAGCCGTGCATGCAGCAGACCTTGCAGCCCCTGCGTGTCACCCCAACCCCCGCCCCACACTCCTGATGCTATGTTCCCGGTGCCGCGCGCAGGTCAAGAGCGTCCGCAGGAGAGACAAGAAGGCCAGCGTGCTGTTCATCGAGGGCCACATGAACCCCCGGGGGCGAGGGTGAGCGTGGCCTTGGCTCCTGTGGGACGCGCCTGGGTGAGGGTGGGACAGGCGCCGGGCTGCAGAGCTGTCACCTCAGAGGGCACCATGCAGCGCCCGCCCGGCTCCCTCCTGGCAGGCCCGGGTTCGGCCGTGGGCAGCTGCTAGTCCTGGCCCACGCGCCCGGTTGGGAGCACGCACGCCGTGCGTCACGCCCGCTCCCAGTGGGCTCTGGGGACAGCATGCCACCACGGCTGAGGGGACCCTGCAGCTGGTCTCCGACCCTCCGGCCCTCCAGCGCTGCTGCCTCTTGGTGGCCAGTGGTGTGGTCGGCCCGGGGTCGGCCCGTCCTGCCTGGAGGGCCCGTGCACTTGTCGGGAGGGGCCGTCTTGTAGGGCACGTGGCGGCGGTGGCTGTGCTGACCCGTATCCCCGCACCCTGCAGCATCACAGTTCCCCTCAAGAGACTGAAGCACTTTGACTGCAAGGACAAGCAGGCGTTGCTGGTAGGTGGCTTTTTACCTTGTCTGTGTGAGTGGTTTCCCTGGTGACAGGGTCCTCTACGGAGCCCTTGAAACCATGGCTATGTGTGACGGAGGGGGGGTGGGGATGCCAGCATCCACCGATGGCTGCCCACCTCCTGCGGTGCCGGGGGGACAGTGGGGTCGTGTCCTGGGCAGAGGCAGGGTGGAGTGGGGGCGAGCCTGGTGAGGCTCTTCTCACTCCTCCCAGTGGCCATTCTTGGATCACCCTGAGGGACGACAGGGTGTAGGCCCCTTGGAGTGGGGACACTGCCTGCCGTGGCCCCGCACGGCCAAGGCTTCGCAGGGCACCTGCTGTCACCTGGTGGCCGTCTGCAGCTCCCCCGTGGGCCGTCACCCGTCCGAACGCTGTGCTCGGCCTGAGGTGGTGCTGCTTGTCCCAGCTCTGAAACGCTGGGCCTGGGCCCGTGGGGCCACCGCCTGCGCCATCGTGGGGTCCCAGAGGCCGTCCGTGCCCTGAGGGCCGAGTCCGGGAGTGTGTTGCCCTCGTGCTCCTGCCTCCCCAGGACGGTGGCCTTGCTCTTGCTCGGCATGGCGGGCGTTGGCAGGGCCAGGTCTAGCCCTACCTGGGTTGTCATGGTTTCCTGTGTCTTTTGTCCCATCTGTCCAGCTTTGTTCACGGCAGCATCTGACCCCAGCAGCGCTGGGCACCCGTCCCCGTGCTCGTGGCAGGGCCTGGTTCTGTGTGACAAGCTCCCACGCGCCCTGCAGGCGGGGTGTGGAGCCGGTGGCGGGAGCCTTGCCTTGGCGTCCGAGTGCGGAACACGCGCAGGGCTGGGGTCGTCCCGGGCCTGCAGGGCGTCTGCACCCTCGTCCCGCCCCCGTGATGATGTGCGCAGGGACGGGTAGCGGTGGTGGGAGCAAGTGCCCCTGGGCAGCTGCATCACTTAGGCTGTGGCTGGGTCTGCTCTCGTGATCTCCGCTGGCCCTCGTGTGACAGTTGTGGCTCTGTGGCCTCTGGGCCCTGTGGGCCTCCACCCCGTGGCCCATTTGGAGCACCTGTCGCATGCAGCCACAGGTGGAGGTGGGCGAGGCCGGCGTCGTGGTCCTCGTGCCTGTGGCGTCTCCTGGGGAGTCCAGCAGGCCTGTCCCGTCTGCAGGGTGCTGGCGGTCGTGTCCCTCTGGGCTGACGCTGCCCACCAGGCTCAGGAACCCTGAGAAGGACTCGTTTCACGTGACCTTGTAGCTGTCTCCGTCCGACGGCCGCGAGTCTCGTGGCCCCAGTGAGGCTCCCAGGGCCGACGTCCGAGCAGCCCGGCCTGGGCCTCGCCGAAGGTCCCTGGGCTGTTTGCTGGACAGGGCTCTGAGGCCTCCCGCTGAGCCCACCGTCTCTCGCTGCAGGACGAGGCCAAGGCGGACTTCAACCAGGCCATCGGCTGGTGCGTCTCCCTGATCACCGACTACAGGGTCCGGCTCGGTGCGTGGGAACTCCGTGGCCTGGGGTGCGGAGCGGGCAGGGGCGGGGAGCCTCTTGTGGTGACAGCTGAGCTCGGCTCTTCCCATGGCAGCCTGGCCCGGACCCTGACAGCCTTGTTTCCTGCGTGGGCTGGTGGAGGCTGGGTGCTGGGCCCTTTGATTCAGAGCTTATTCCTGTCCATCCGAGGTGGGCTTGTCAGAGCCTCCTGGCCCGGGTCCCCGCAAGCTGCCTGCTCACAGCAGGGGTCGGAAGGTGCTGGCACTGTGGCCCCTCCCCCATGTCCCCCGCTGTGACGCGCCCCTCCCCCGTGTCCCTCACAGGCTGCGGCTCCTTTTCCGGCTCCTTCCTGGAGTACTATGCGGCTGACATCAGTGAGTCCGAGCTCGTGCTTGTCTTCGCGGCCCACGAGCCGGGTGCAGGGGGCTTCCGGGCATGGGGTGACACCCCAGGGGCTCCTGGACTGTGGGTACCGGGCCACTGCTGTCTGCTCCCTGCCTGGGGGTGGAGGGCACTGCATTCAGGGCCACGTCCACCCTGTTGGCACCAGCTCAGTCATGCCTGATGGTCAGAACACCCGGCACCTTCCACCCGCCTTCCTCAGCCTAGCGTCCTTGGTGGTGACAGCCACGGCCCTGCCCTTAATGAGGCGGGCCGGGACCTGCTCGTCAGGGCTGGGTGAGGGTGGAGGGCAGTGCTGCCAGAGGAAGGGCCTTTGGGGCCCCCTTCATCCCGCGGTGCGGCGAGGGGACCGCCCCCCCGGCCTGTAGGCCCACACGCACTTCTCTGCAGGCTACCCCGTGCGCAAGTCCATCCAGCAGGACGTGTTGGGGACGCGCTTCCCCCAGCTCTGCCAGGAGGACCCCGAGGAGCCGGAGGCGGGCAGCCCCTGGGGCAGGAGGCCGCCCCGCAGGAAGGTGCTCCCCGACCGCTCGCGGGCCGCCCGCGACCGCGCCAACCAGAAGCTGGTGGAGTTCATCGTGCGGGCGCGAGGCGCCGAGGGCCACCTGCGCGACATCCTGCGCAACAGGAAGCCGTCGCGGTGGCTGAAGACCTTCCTGCGGTCGGGCCAGTACGTGACGTGCGTGGAGACGTACTTGGAGGACGAGGAGCAGCTGGACCGCGTGGTGAAGTATCTGCAGGGGCTCTGCCAGGACGCGGACGGCCGGGCGCTGGCGCGCAGCAGCGGGGACCGGATCCGCTTCATCCTGGACGTGCTGCTGCCCGAGGTGAGGGCGTCGCACCTGGGTCTGCGGGGGACAAGCTGCCTGCTTCCCCTGCGTGTGCCCACGGTGACTGTCGCAGAAGTCACCAGGCTGGGTGGGGAGCAGATGCAGCTGTGAGTCATGGTGACACTCAGAGGGGCTTGTAGTCACAGCGCACAGTGTGACCAGACGTTGTCAGGCTCTAGTGCGGCAGCTGTGAGTCATGGTGACACTCAGAGGGGCTTGCAGTCACAGCGCACACAGTGTGACCAGACGTTGTCAGGCTCCACTGCGCACAGTGTGACCAGACGCTGTCAGGCTCAGGTGTGCACGGAAAGGGTGGTGGGTCCTGACCCCGACGTGCTCGTCACCTCGCGAGTACCGACCTCGCTCTGTGGGCCTCGAGTCCTCCCCCCCGATTAGTTTTTATGAAAAAATCCGAACGTGTTTATTCATAGTTACTTTCTCACGTGTTTCCAACACGGAGTCACTTTGTTTTCTGGGGACGTCTGTGGTGGTGACACTGGGGATCTGGCCATCCGACGCGCACTGCGACGTCCCCTAGGCCATCAGCGGCGGCCCCCATCGGATGCACCGTGGGTGTTTACGTGTCCACCGTGTTCCTTTATATTTTTTACAGTAAATTTAGTTTTCAAAACATGCTGTCGGTTTGGGGGTGCTTTTCGTTCTCGGCCCTTAATGACAAGAATTGTGGTCTGAAGGTGATGTGCCTCGTCACGTGGAGACACGGCGACTCGGTCGCGAGCCAGGGCGGGGCCGCGCCTGAGGCCCACGTGGTCGGAGCGGGTGGGGCGCTGGGCTCTGGCTGACCGCCCGCCCGTCTCGCAGGCCATCATCTGCGCGATCTCGGCGGTGGACGCGGTGGACTACAAGACGGCTGAGGAGAAGTACATCAGAGGACCGTCGCTTGGCCACCGGTAGGTGCCAGCCCCATCCCCGTGCGCTGGGCCACACACCTGCGTGGTCAGCGAGGTGCATAAACTGAAAGCTCCCGTCCCGTTTGGCTGAGGAATCGCCAGTGGACCCAGTGACGCCAGCGGTGGGTATCGCGCTCTGGCGAGTTTGGGCCGTGGTTCCCCAAGCTGGCCAGAGCAGGCAGAGCTGGACACAACCCAGACTCCGTGTGCCGGGGCGGCCAGGCCGACCGCTGCCACGTGCTCGGGCCTCTGGTCTCTGCTGCTAGCGCTGCGTTTGTGACCCTGTCCCCACTGCTCTGGTGCCGGGCTGTTGAGGACAGACAGCCCGAGTGGCAGGCGAGCGGCTGGCCATCCTAGCTGCCTGGAATAGCCCTGATGAAGGCGTTTTTTTCATGTCGCTGTGGGGGCCGCCCCGGGCCTTGTGGCCCCCGAGGGCCTGATCCCGCTCTGGGTGTGCTGCCAGCCCCTGCCAGGGGTGGGCGGGCCATGTGCCAGCGACGGGCTGAGGACTCAACTGGACTCGCTGGCCAGGAGGCCTGGCCCGGCCTGACCAGGCGCCGCCATGGCCTGCGTGCCTCCTGGGCAGCTGCTCAATTCACGGACGGGAAGGGCCTTCGGTGACAGAAACCGGTGCCCCACTCGCAAGTCAGGCCGTGTCCGGGGCGGGTGAGCAGGACACGTGTCCGTGCCCCTCCCCCAGCCCGCCCCAGAGCACCCGGGAACGTGGCTCAGCACCCCCAGGAACGCGGCCCAGCCGCCTCGTGTGACCGGGCAGGTGGCGGCCGTGCCTGTCCTGTGCGGCGTGGTGCGTCTGAGCGGAGCCGCTTCCCTCCTGCCGCCCCGTTTCCAGCCGCGTGGCCGGTCCACCCGAGGTCGTCCACCTCGTGTCCCTTTTGTTCCGTGAGCGACATCCAAGAGGCCGTGCGCAGACCTGACAGCACGGGACCCTGCACACCCCGGCATGTGTGCCATCTCCAGGTGGCCCTGTGTTTCCTGGTGTGAGCTGATCGCCACATGTCACCGGGTCACCCTCGGAGCCTACGCCCCCCGGCTTCTCTGTCCCGAGCACATAACAGTCCTGACAGGGTCTCTGAGCAGGAGGCACTTAGCGAGGACAAGGGGACGTTAACTGCTTCTTAGAGGTTTATTACTGAGCTGGTGTGTAAGGCACACGACGTGGACGCCACCGCCCCCGCCCAGCTCCGCGTTCTCGTCCCACACAGTCCCGTCGAACGCTCAGCCTCTGTGTCATGCTCTTTGAAACACGGCTAATTACTAAAACGAAGGTGTCGCCTTTTGCTTTTTGAAGGGAAAAAGAAATATTTGATAACCAGCTCCTGGAAGAAAGGACCCAGCGAAGCTGACGCCGGCGTGGCCATCGGGCGCGGTGGGGGCCACCGGGGCCGTCGCGTCCCTCACACAGTTTCAAGGACGGCCTCGGGACGCGCGCGCCTCCCACGGGTCCGGGTTTCTCTGCCTGGCTCCGGGGAGTGCACAGTTCTGCAGAGTTTCTAGAAGGACAGAGTGGTCTCTTACGTTCTCTCGTCACATGTGGCTGTACTGAATGGTTTAAGGTACACGTTTGTCTTTTTATGTTAAAAAGCATCGTATCCGACATTAAACTGGAGTTTTAAGAAGAGCCTCGTGCGCGTGCAGCTCTGGGGCCCGTGTCACCCGCTCTGCGTGGTTTCCTCTGGGCGGCTCCCTGGGGAGACGGGGCGGGACGGAGTGCGGTTAGCGTTGGGGTGCTGCCCGGCGCGTGCCCACGACGGAGGCAGCTCTGCGGGGGGTGCGGAGGTCCCGGGGGCTGCACTGGGTGAGTCTGGCTCCAGTGGGATGTCTGCTGCCCTGCCGTCCCATGGGGCTGCCACTCGCACCCACACGGGACAGCTAAGGCCACCGCGTGCACAGCCTGGGCCCTGGGCTGTGGGCTCGTAGCCGCTCACTGTGGCCCTCACTCTGGGAGCCGTGGCAGCAGCTCGCGTTCCTGCCTGAAGCCTGAGGTGCTCGCAGGGCTGTCCGCTGCTGGCTGGGGCCCAGCCGTGTGTGGGTCACACCTCCGCTTCACCTGGCCGGTGCGACACTGTGTGGCAGTGACTGGTGGCAACCTGAAGCCCTGCCTGTCGTCAGCACCCTGGTTGCATTGTCGGACCTGGACGGGGTCAGCGTCGCTCCCTCAGTGACTGGACTGGCCTCTCCTGACACCTCCTCACCCAACCAGGCCCGCCCCAGAGCATGCTGGGTTGGCTTGGGAGCAGGACAGGCCGGGTGACGCAGGGCGGCGGCGAGCCCAGAGCGCAGCCCAGAGCCCAGCCTTCGTCCCAGTCCCTCGCTCCGGGATCTGAGCAGGAAATCCCACGAGGCCCTGGCCGTCAGGCAGGAGAGGGGCTGCCTGGAGCTGGCCCTGCGCAGTCTCTCCCTGCGCGGAGGCCCCGGCCAGGTGGGCCGGCTCCCTTCAAGGCCAACTTTGCGCAGGACGAGCGAGCACTCGGCTGCCTCGTGGTGACAAAGGCCCCAAGTGGCCCGTGGGGCAGTCCCGTCCCCTTTCGGCTGCACGGGCTCCCCCTGTGGGCTCCGGGCCCCTCCCAGGAGGCCTCTGAGTCGCGGTCTGGCCCCCCAACACGGCTGCGGGCACTCACTGTGTTTCTGGGGATCCTGAGAGCGTTTGTCTACACGTTTCCTCTCGAGGCCCGTGGGCCGGGGGTGGGGGTAGGTCTGTCCTCCCCTCGGTGAGTGGTGGCAGCAGTTAAGGATGTCATAGCCACCTGACCCACTAGCTGGCCAAGTGAGGAATATTGTAGAAGCCCCAAGGCAGCCGCAGCCCTTGGTGAAGCCCGTGCTACTCAGCTGCTTCAGCATCAGAAAGACCAACTCCACACAGCACGACGCATCCCGCGGATGGGCCGCCCCACCTGACCCTGCCCCCGCCTGCACCCCCTTCCCCACGGTGACAGCGCTCTGCCCGCCGCACCGCTCACGCTGCTCACCCTGAGGGGGACTGGGCACTGCAGGGGTTCAAGGATCTCCCGAAAGCGACAGGATCCTGTGCCTTGCCCATCACCATCCTGCTTGTGGGCACTGTCACGTGGAGGCAGTGGCTCCTGCCCCCCCACCTCCGCCCCTCCCGCTGGGCTTTGTCCCTGCTCCATGGGCCTCCCGGGCAAGGCGTGTCCCCAGCCGCACCAGCCCTGGGGAGGGGGCTTCATGGAAGCATTTCCTGGCTTCTGACTGCAGACCGTCGGTGACTCTTCAAGTCTGTTATTTATCTAAAACATGGATTTTCAAAAGTCGTGCGTGCACAGGGTAAGAATTTCAAGCCACAGAGAGGCCCGTTGGCACAGTGAACGGGGTCCTCTGTCACTCTGGCTGGCGTCCTCTGCTGCCCTTCGCTCCCTGTGCTTCTTCCCCCACCACCCGAAGGCCCTAGGGTACCCGAGCCGCCTCCCTTGCCATGTACCCAATCCCCATGTGGCAGTCCGCCAAACGCTCCGTAGCTGGAGTGGAAAGCAGGTGGGGTGGCCGTGAGGTCCTCCTCACCCTGTCTTGATCAGGTGCTGCCAGGGCTGGGGACTCCTGCTGGGTGCCTGGCCCACAGGCCCAGGGCCACGGGGACAGGAAATGCAGTGACACGGGAGGCCAGGCAGCAGCGTGTCCACATCAGTTCAGTTGTGACAATACATCACGCCCAGGTGATGTTGCCCACAGGTGTTACTCTATTATCTTTGAAACTTCTCTGTAAATTAAATGATTCTAAGATGCAAAGTTTATTTAAATTGAAAAATCCACCCGCAGAGCACGCCCAGTCATGGGAGCTAAAGGGAAGGGGGACTGCCCCCGGCAGAACTTCAGAGCCCTCTGCCCTTTGCTCCTTTAGAGGCCAGGCCTGGCCTGGTGACACATCTGTGCCCACCCAGAGACCCTCGAGCTCCCCGAGAGCAGCCAGGCCTGGCTCTGCTCAGCCCGTGGCGGAGCAGGGGGCAGGGTGGGGGCTTCTCCCTGGGAGGCCAGCCCCGCCACTCCCCTGTGCTGGCCTGTTTGGGCCTCAGTCTGCCCCATGCAAAGACAACAGATGTCCCCCAGGATTGTCCAAGCGAAACGACACAGAAGCAAAAAGTGCTTCTGCACACTTTTGCCAGTTTGAGTGCTCAGTGGCGTCCATTTTTACAACGATCTCTACTTCTGATGCTACTGCTGGAAAAAGCTGGAAAACGGGGGTGGGGAAACGGGATGTTTGGGCTGGAATCATAGTCACGGTGGGGACAGGGCTTGCTTTGAGTGTCTTGTTCTGTCCCTTCCCACATTGGCATGAGTTCCCAGCAACCCTGCAGAATGGGGTAACATTTTGGGGAAGAAAAGTAAAAAATGACGCATTATGAAGGGGAGGAGCTGGACCAGCCTGGAGCGAAAGATAATGCTTACTTGAGTCAAAAACACTTGCCGAAACCCGGGATCGAACCAGGGACCTTTAGATCTTCAGTCTAACGCTCTCCCAACTGAGCTATTTCGGCTGGGCGGCAGGCGTCATTCTCGTCGCCACTCTACACCGTGCCGGGCCGCCCGCGCGCAGGCGCACTTTGTTCCGTTTGCAACAATCGCGCATGCCTCGTAGGCGCTCGCGTAGGAGCATGCCGCAAAGCCGTCTCTGTGGCGCAATCGGTTAGCGCGTTCGGCTGTTAACCGAAAGGTTGGTGGTTCGAGCCCACCCAGGGACGCGCTACCGTCTTTTGCTTCCTGGGTCGCGAAGAAGACGAGAGGTTCGCTTCCGTTTTCAGGGGCGTTTTCCGCGCACCCACTTGTTTTTCTATGCGTCGTGGGGCGTCTGGAGCGCGCGGCAGGGAACGTCCACGAAAGCGGAACGTTCCGCACCCGGTTTCTGGTTTTCGCTCACCAGCCGAACCTCTTTGGGCGACGGCCCCGGCGACCCGGAGCGCTAAAGAGGGAGGACCGCAGAGGTTGTCTGAAGGCCGAGGCCAAGATGGCGGCGCTGGCGGGTGAGCGGGTCGGGCACCGGGGTCAGGGGCCGCTCGGGGAAACCGAGGCCGGAGGGGGACTCGGGGCTCCCCGGGAAGGTGACATCGTTCGCACGGCAGGCATCCCAGCCTGGCCTGCTCCCGGGACCGCATAACGCGGACCGCACGGGGTCGCAGCGGAAAGCAGCGCCCCCGAGCAGGGGGTCGGGGATTTGTCTTGAAGCCGGTTGGCGCGTCCTCATGCCGGCGCTTCGCCGTTAACGCCCGCAGCGCCGCTGGCCAGGGCAGGTCCCATTGCGATGGCTTTTTCGGGGGGCGAGGGGGGTGACGACGCTCGTTACTTTGCGGAGGTGCGTGCAACCCCTGGCACGCCGTTTCGAGACGTCTGTGATTTCCGTGGCCGAAAACCACGGGTCCTGCTAACACGGGGCCTGTGGTCTGTTGGCGACACTCAGAATTAAAGAAAGGCCAATTTTCAATAAGACGTCGGTGACAACGGAGGCTGTTTTTCCTTCCCGTGCAAATTCCCATGTGTGCTGAACAGCGAAGGGCCTTTACCGGGGTGTGAGTTTATGCAAATCCCTAAACGTTTTAGTGGGGAAACTGAGGCTCAAAGAGGTGCAGGCGTCCGGGGCCAGGCAGTTAGCCTGTCTTCCGTGCTCACATCTGTGGCTTTGTTTACTGGCCCCACACCTGTCAGGCACAGTCAAGGCCGCGGGAACACTGGGGACCCCGGGAGGCAGAAGGGCCGGCCTGTGCAAGCGTGGGGCAGGGTGCTCCAGGCAGACGGGACAGCCTGTGTGAAGGCTCCGAGGCAGCAGCCCTGACACGTGAGGACGTGAAGGCGGCGTCGGTGTGCAGCCTGGCTTTTCTCCCAGGGACTGTGGGACTTTAAGCAGCGGAGTGGCACTGTCTGGTTCACGTTTGAAAAACCCCTCTTTACCAAACGTTTGTTAGGTGGACTTTAGGTAGACGGGGAGCAAGAGGGTGGGGGGGTCCCAGGCGGGGCCTGAGATGGGACATCTGGCCGATGTGCCCTCTGGTGCTGCCCGCTACTCACTGCCGCCCCCTATGGTTTTCTCCGCAGCTCCCAGCCTGCTCCGCCAGACCCTTGCTCTGCGGTGAGTGCCGGCATCTCTGACCCTGACCACCAACCCTGAGGCCCTGGCGGGAGGGCTCGGTCCGGGAGGTGGGGCAGAGCTGGAAGGGGCTGGAGCAGCAGCAGATGGCCACCAGCTGCAGGTCACAGGGCAAGCTGGGCAGCAGGGGGGCCAGCAGTCCGCCCTCCAGCAGGTGGTGTACAGGCCCCTCGGTGGCGACAGGACACCCCGGGCTCACACTCTCGTCCGCCTGTACTGGTGCCCCCAGGACTCCCACCTTACCTGTCTCAGGAAGGCATTCGGTGCATTTGCTCAGATCGCAGTCCCCTGCAGGCCTCCTCAGGATGGGAAAGCAGGTGGCCGCCAGGCCCTCTGCAAGAACAGAGCCCAGAAACTGAACCCCAGTACCATGGGACCAGGGACATGGCAGATCTGAGGAGAGGGTCTTCCTAGCGGAGGGGCGTCGGGGCCTTTGAGGCAGGCAGGACTGGGGCTGACTGTGCTTCGTTTTGATAAGGCCTTTTTCCTAGGAATAAAATACATATTCCCTGTAAAACAAATAGAAAATGGGATAAACGAGAGGCGTGAAATGAAAACCAGGCGCCCCGTAGACCAGGGCCCGCAGACATTTTCCGTGGATGTTCTGGGCTCTCTGGCGGGCGCTACTCAGCTCTGCAGACAACGCGGGAATGGATGGGTGTCAACAAACCTGTATTTACAGAAACAGGTGGAGGCCGGATCCGGCCCCTGGCCGCAGTTCTGCCGTCCCTGCCCGGGAGTAGCCCCTGTCGCAGTGCCTGGGGCGCCCGGGCTGCTGTGAACGTGCGCTCTGTCTCCCTGCAGCTCGGGCCTGAGTGCGGCCGTGCAGGCGCGGCACGTCCACGTGAGCTCAGCTACTGACAGCCCGAGCAGGTGAGGCCAGCCCTCCCGGGAGCCCGCACACCCCAAAATCCGCCTCCCGCACAGCAGCGCCTGTGCTGGCTCCAGGACCCTCCCATTACCCAGTGGGACGACACAGAGAGGTCCCTGACCTTGGCACCCTGCCTGGCCCCCTGCCACGTGTCCAGGCCAGCAGCCTCACACCCCCACCGCAGAAGGGCCTCTGCTCTAGGGCGTGTCGGCTGAGCCCATTTTCCAGATGGGGAAACCGAGTCCCTGTCAGCATGGGCCTTGGGGCCGGCCCAAGCGACCACGACATCCTTGATCCCTTCATGCAGTGGGCGTGCCCTGACCCAGACGCGGCCCCGTCTAGCACTGCCCCCTGGGACAGGCCGTGACCACACTTCGTCGTGCCTCTGCGTGGTCGCTCCAGGCTGGGCTCCAGGGTGGGGGCCGTGGGGATGGGCAGCACCATCTCCTGGGTCCCTGCCTGGCTAATGCCTCCCCATGTCCCATGCCCAGTGCCCAGCCCACCGTGTCCAAGGCCGGAGCCGTGGTCCCCAAACCCAGTGCCCTTCCCAGCAGCCGGGGCGAGTATGTGGTGGCCAAGCTGGATGACCTCATCAACTGGGCCCGCCGGGTGAGCACCTCCCTCTGCCATCCCCCAGCCCCTGCCCCCACACGTGTGCCTCCCCTAGTGGCCCAGGTGGCCAGCCCGGCCGCACCAGCTCCAGGCTCCGATGTCCCCTGTGTGCTTCCCTCAGCCACCAGTGAAGATGGCCCACCTATCTTCTGCAGTTTTGACTTCTGTCTGTCCCTTTTTTAGAAAAGAGAAAAATTGTTTTTTTTAACTACAAAAGACGTGTGCTGAAAAGAGCAGAAATCCTAAAAAGCCTGCCCCTCCCTGTGTCCCCTCCCTCAAGGAGTGTGCATGGCATGTCTCCCACTGGACACGTGTCCCTCTCGGGGGACAGAGGCTCTTTTCAGTGTCCAAGGGGTGCTGGGCCGGGCCAGGCTCAGTAACAATCCCCTGCTGAGGCCGCACGCTGTCTCTGTCTTCTGTGTCTGTGCATCACACGATGCCACAGCGAGCTCCTTGCCAGGGCTTTTAGCTCCAGGACAGAGGAGTGCGCTGCAACCCGGTTTGTGGCTGCGAAGGCCCAGGGACAAGGTCAGGGTCAGCCAGCTCAGGCACCAGTCAGGGCTCGGGCCCTGTTGTGTGAGCGCTGGCACATCGGCGGCCATGGGGGCCACTTCCAGGCCCTAGGTCAGACACGCAGGAGCAGAGGAAGGTCTGGCAGCGGGCACAGACGTGGGGAAGTGAGGCCCAGAGACATGGGTGCGAGTAGGAGGTTGGCCGAGGACATCCGGGAGGGCTTCCTGGAGGAGTCGCTGGACACCAGGAGGTGTCGGGACCAGGGCCTCAGTGTCTAGCCTGTGCCGCTGTTAGCGGATGGGGTCCAGGACGCACTGGCCACCAAGAGGCAGCAGCGCTGGAGGGCCAGGGCAGCGGCTCAAACTGGCAGCAGGTGTCCGAGCGGCCTGGAGATCATCTCTGCGCCGTTTGTCACGAAAGGCTAGGATTCTAGACGTTTCTGTGTAAGAGTGCTCTGTGTCTTTAAACACGGGCCACCGTCCACTCACGGCTGACCACTTGGCCCCCAGAGCTCCCTGTGGCCCATGACCTTTGGCCTGGCCTGCTGCGCCGTGGAGATGATGCACATGGCAGCGCCCCGCTACGACATGGACCGCTTCGGCGTGGTCTTCCGGGCCAGCCCGCGCCAGTCCGACGTCATGATCGTGGCCGGGACCCTCACCAACAAGATGGCCCCCGCGCTCCGCAAGGTAGGCCCGGCCCCGCCGCCTGTCCGGCCCCACTGCCCGCCTGGCCCCGCCGCCCGCAAACCCGCCGTCTCTTCCAGGTCTACGACCAGATGCCGGAGCCCCGCTACGTCGTGTCCATGGGGAGGTGAGGGACCAGGCCGGCCGTGGGCTTCCCTGCCTCTGTCTGTGCTTCCGTCTGACCAGGGCCCTCCAGGGGGACGTCCCAGGCCGTGAACCCCCGCAGCAGCAGGCGGGCAGCAACTCTGACGCCCCTGCGCATGCTGCCCCCAGAGCGTCCCCTCCTGTCGCTTACCGGCGCCCCACCCCAGTGGCCCGTCCGGTCTGTTCCTTTGCTTCGTGCACATGGTGATGGCGTCATCGTTGCCTCACGCACTCACACCTGCCTCCCCGCGTTGGCAAAGCCCGTTCAGCTGCTGACCGGCCCTGTCGGGGCGCAGGTTTGGACTGCACAGTTCCCCCTTCCCTGGCATGCGGTTCCGGAGGCTGTCATTCACGCTGCAGGGAACCGCCCCCTCTGTCCAGTTCCAGACCGTTCCATCACCCCCGAGACCCCCCACACCCCTTAGCGGTCACCCCCTTTTCCTGTGACTTCGTGTCCAGTCCTGCCCTTTTCGATACGCGGGGCACCTGCTTGCACGTGACAGGGTGCATGCAGGTCAGGGGCGGGATGCTGAGTGGGCGGGGCCAGGTGGCCCTCACGGCCCTCCCTCCCCCCTTCCCCCGACAGCTGTGCCAACGGGGGCGGCTACTATCACTACTCCTACTCCGTCGTGAGGGGCTGTGACCGTATCGTGCCCGTGGACATCTACGTCCCAGGTAAGCCCACCGCCCGTGTCTCGGCCCCCCGGCCTCCAGGTCCATGAAGGAGCCGGTGCCGGCCCACTCACCCATGGCACAGGGTCCCTGTGTCCCCGCAGACACGTGGGCTCCCCCTGTCCCCCAAGGGGCTCCCCGGTGTCATCCAGACGCCAGACCAGGCCCATGTCGGGATCAAGACTGACTTCCACCTGTTTTTAAGCCACAGTTTTATATGATTCCACCTAAAAGAATCAAAACCAAAGAAATTCAGTTAGAAACCAGAAAAGGTCCTGGAGGCCAGGAACGGTGTCCACGAGTTCTCATCCTCCAGACGGGCGGGTGAGACCCCCCGCTCCGACCTGGGATCACCAGGGTGCGGGCTTCCGCGAACTGAACTGCAGGGTGCCCACTTAGGGCCGAGCATTAGGAGAACAGAGTCTTCTGTGCCGTTTGGGGTGCACTCGCACTGGAGCATGGTGCTTCCTCTGGTTTGCGCATCGCCGGGTGACCTGAGCATGCCTGGTTCTCCGCAGGGTCCTCCGCAGGGGGCGCCTCCCAGGCATGTTGCTGGCACCTCTCAAAAGTGGAGAAACAGATTTCGATGCTGGTTTAGAGCCGATCGAAAAACGGGGCCACTGTGATGAGCATTTTGCAAATGTTTATGGAGGGGTTTTTCCAGGCCCCGGGGAGCCTGCAGGTTGTAGGGACAGAGCCTGACACAGCCGTGCTCAGCTCTCCTGTCGGTGGCACAGGGCACAGTTTGCAGGCTTCGAGAGAGGCAGAGGCGTCTACCCTGACAGCTCATTAGACTTGACCGGGGGCCAGCCCCTTGGTCAGCTGCTGCTTGTGTGGACACATGACCTTGGGCCAGTGTCTCGGGCATGTTCTCTGTCGCAGCTGGGCTGTCGTGCCTGTGCTGTCGGTCACCATGCACCCCACGCTCAGCTGAGGGATGACCGTGACGGCATCTGCCCAGCCCCCATGGCTGTGGTTGCCCTTCCAGGCCTGTCAGGTCCTGGGCAAGTCCTCGAGGTGTGACATGTCTGCTTTTTCAGCTCAGGAGTCTGGATGGGACCCGAGAGGACCCATCGGGGGTCCCTTCTCAGTATGCGGGCCTCCCCGCTCTGCCCCCCGCCCCGTGACGGGCCACACCCCCACCACCGCAGTGCAGATGCATGGGGCGAGGGCTGTCTTAGCCCTCCCCACCCCGGGACGTGGCCAACCAGCCCTCAGCCCCAGCTCACTTGTCCCAAGACCCTGGGCGGCCTGGCCTTTGCTGCCCCTAGTATGCCTTTTGACCTTCATTCTGGTTCAAGTGCCCTTGGCCAGCAGCAGGAGGAGGGTGGCCGGCCCCCAGGGCAGGGCACTGAGGCCATCCCGCCCCCAGGCTGTCCCCCGACGGCCGAGGCCCTGCTCTACGGCATCCTGCAGCTGCAGAAGAAGATCAAGCGGGAGAAGAGGCTTCAGATCTGGTACCGCCGGTAGCAGTGCTGACCGTCTCCATCACCATCCCCATCACCATCACCGTCCCCAGATGGTCAATAAACCCGAGAAGCCTGCCTAGACCGCTGCCGTGTGGTGTGTGGCCGGGAGGCAGGGTGGCAGCGGGGCAGGCGCCAGGCGGAGGGCCCAGCGTGGATGGGTGAGTGCCGCCAGACAGAGTAGGTCCCGAGACACAGGTCCTGGAGGCAGGTGGCTGGGCCCACACACCCCTCCTGGGGGCCTGCACTGCCTGTCGTGATGGGCTTGTGGGGGATGGGTGGCCACTGCACTAGGGCTGGAGGGGGCCCCAAGTCAGGCACTGGGCAGTGGGAGAGTGGGGACCTCAGCACGTGACACTGCCCGTCCAGTGGGCTGAGGGTCCCGGGCGAGGCCGATGTGAAGTTTGGCTCAAGGTTCAGCCTGACCAGGTGTGACCAGAACCGTCCTTGGCTCAAGGACCTGGGTGCTGCCACTCTCCCTGTGGTCCCAACCTAGTTCTGGACCCCAGATGTAAACCACAGGGGAGAAGGGTGGCTGGCTGGCAGGCAGCCTGGGGACGAGGTCATCCACGATCTGAGCGAGCTGGAGTGGGGAGGCATGGGCTCCACGGGGGGGAGAAAGGGCCCACCCCCTGGCCCCTTGCCAGCTGCTGAACAGGCTTCTCTCTGGAGCGGGGAGGAGTGAGCGAGCCGCTTTCATGTGGTGCTGCTGGGTGGCCAGGCCACTGGCAGTGTTTATTTCATCCCACGGCCCACAGGGAGCAGGTGCTGGTCCCCTTGCACAAGTCAGGGGAGGTGGCCCGGGGTCACGCTGCCGGCCAGGGGTGCAGCCTCAATTAGAACCTCGGACTATGAGGCCACAAAGGCACTGAGTCAGGGTGCGGGGTGGCCAGCAGGCTCAGTGCTTGGTGACCAGGGGCGTGATCACCCGCGGGAAGGCATAGTAGCGGCAGTCGGCCGGCGGGACCAGCTCCATCACCTGCGTGCGGATATTTTCCGGCCGGAAGCCGGCCTCCAGCAGCGCTGGCACCTGGGTCTCCTGCAGGGGGGAGGAGCCAGGTAACCTCCAGGCCCCAAGGCCCAGTGACACACACTCACACACCCTGGTGCCCACCCATCCTTGCGTAGCATTCACTAGTGCCAAGGCTCCTAGGGACTGCAGCCGCCGCCGTCGCCCCCCCCACCCGCGCCCGCCTCCCTTAGGCCCAGCTGCTGAGTGAGACTGGGCGGATCCTGTGTTCCTGTGTCCTGGGCACCGGGCAGGGACCTTGTCTGATTCTCACAGGCGCTCATAGTCCACCTGAGAGCAGCTCGAGGGCTGGGGCAGGCAAGGGACCCTGCCAGGGCACAGGTGGCCACAGCTGCCTCCCTGCCCTGGTCGCTGGCTGCCTGGGGTGGGGCTTGGTCCCGGCACCTGGAACATGGTGCCGATGTCCGAGTACTTGGTCTTCATCAGCTCCCCCCAGGAGGTGAGGTTGCAGTAGGTGAGGACGCCCCCCGGCTTCAGCAGGCGAAACGCGTGGCCCTGGGAGGGGGGCAGCGGTCAGGGCGGGAACGAGTGGCAAGAGGGGGACCGTGTGTGGACAGCACATGCCCCGACCCGGCCGGCCCAACCCCCATCGAGGACCTACCTTGATGAAGCCAAACTGGTGCGTGTGCCAGGTCTCCTCGGACAGTGGGTACGTGTCGTACAGGATCCCTGCAGAGAGAGACGGAAGCCACGCCGTCAGGCTAGCTGCAGTGGCACCGGTGGCTGCACCTGAGGGACTTGCATGCGGCCAGGAGCCCCTGGGTCTGCCTCCTGTAGGACAGATCCCCGACCGCCCCCCGCGTCCCCCCCACCCGAGGCTGCACAGCAGGAGGGGAGCAGCCTGCAAGGCAAGGGAGCGAAGCTTCATCTCATCTGCAAGCTTCATGTCATCTGCGTTTGCAGCCGCTCCCCAGCTCCGCCTCAGGTCGGTAGGCACTCGATTCTCATAGCACGGGCCCTGGACCCACAAAGCCTGGGAACCGCTGGTCCAGGGGCCACGTTGAGTTCAGGCGTTACCCCATATCCGCTGAGCGCTAGGCCTCGTGTTGCTGGGTGACATGTCAGTGAGCAAGGTGCGGGCTAACAGTGCAGACTCAGGCAGAGGCCCCTCACCCGGCCCCCAGTGTCCCCTCACCATCAAAGTGACCATCTGGCAGGGTGGGCACCACCTCCTCCCACAGGCCTTTCAAGGGAACCACCTTGGGGCAGGGTAGAAAACGAGAGAAGGCTGAGGGTCAGAGGGGTCCACAGGATGCCACTGTGAGGGCGGGGGAGATCACCTCCCAGATCTGGGGCCCTCCCCCAGGCGTGAGGGGGGCAGAGGCGCACCTTGTGTGGCTGCCGCTGGGCCCAGTCCTGGAGCCGCTGGAAGACACCATCGTTGCACTCAATGATCCAGTGCTCGTCGATGGCCGCCTCCTGCACTCTGGTGGCTGCGATGGCCATGCCAAAGCCCACCTCCAGGACCCGGCCCCCTAGACACACAAAGGACTGGGGCTGGGAAGCTGCCCGGAGGCGGGGGTGTGGGGCGGCGACTCTGCACAGAGAAACTTGCCACAAGGATAGGAGGGCACAGCGGGCACTGTGGCCCTGAGAGGGAACAGCGTGGGCCCTGGGCAGCAGCCAGAGCGGGTGGCCAGCCAGGGAGGCCCAGCCCTGAGGGACTTTGAGCCTGGCTCTCGCCATGTGCACTGGGGATGGTATCTCTTGACTTGGTTAGTTTCCTCTCCCCCGCCAACACTCCCCACGATGCAGTGCACCAGAGAGGGGTTAGGAGAGCCAGGATTGGGGAGGGCTGGTTGGTCCCTATTGGACCACAGACCAGACCCAGGCACAGAGGCCGCGCACCCAACCCCTGGGGGAATCTGGGCACCCCTGGGCCTCAGACGTCCGTGCGGCAGGGTCACTCTGCCACCTGTCTCCCAGCCTCAGTTCTCCCCGAGCTATTCTTAGCTGGGGCGGGCGGGGCCTCGGGAGTCGGTGCAGGAACGTTCCCAACGTGAACCTGGCCAGCTGCCCGTGCTGGCTGCCGGCCCCTGTCCCTGACCTCAGGCGCGGGGGCTGAGGACCTACCCCCGGGCCGGGGCCTCATTCCTCCTGAAGGGGAAGCTCCCGGTACTTAGCGGGCGCCCTGTGCCCGCAGCACCCGCTTTTATTTCCCCGTCGCCCCCGGCTAGCAGCCCCATTTTTTGGGCTACGAGAGAGGCACGAAGAGGCTCCGATGCGCATCAGCGGGAGAGCGGGCCGGCCCCGGGGCTGCGCTGGAGCCGGGCGGGGGGCTACCTTTGGAGGCGGCGGCGGCCGCCAGCGCGTGCATGTAGGGGGTCTCCCAGCGCTCCATCACCGGCTTGCCCAGGATCTGCAGGTGCGTGTCCGATGCATCGTAGGCTGCAGGCGCCGCCCGCCACGCAGGGCTGCAGTTCTCGCCGGGCGCGAAGATGGGGTTCGCAGCGGGGGCGCTCATGCTGCGGGCTGGACGGCGCGCCCCTGAATCAGCTCTCAACGCGCGGAGCTGGTCTCTGCTGGGCCTTCTGGGCCGGGGGCGTGGTCTGGCTGGGGGCGTGGCCGGAGGGGGCGTGGTCAGGGCGGCCTGGGCCCCACGGG